TTGGACCTTGAATAACAAGGTTGCTGTTGACCAATTAAAGAACAGTTTCATCGTTTTTAACCCTTGTTCGACCGTCAACAATTTTGAAAAGGTGCCCTAAAAACTTAACAAAATAATCACAATTTTCGGTTCATTTTTGACCACCTTTAATATTAACAAAATCACCTTTCAGAAGTAGGTCAGGTGTTTTTCTTGTGAAGTACGGTAGTTAATATGCATAACTACTGACATTTCCGTCACGTCGTGGCTTCTTGTTACGGTGTACCCACGAACCACTGTATGATCACACCGACTTGTGTAATCCACACCTTTGTACGGCCACACCATCCACCCCTTCAAACGTGTAACAAGCGAAAGAGCTACGGCATCCCCGTTGCATCCAGCATACAGTCAAAAATACAGAAATGCAACCAGCCCCTCCAATAAGCTAGCGAAACACTATCTTCAAAAAATTGGGTGGACCCAATGCGCAACAAACAAGCTTTTCAAAGAGTCGATCCATGGGAAAAATTTTGGTGGGTGTCTCGCAGCATTTCGTCCATCCTTAAATCTCGGCTTTCACTGATCTAAACGTCGATACTTCATTTGATTTTTATTGTCTTGACTACGCTGGTCGTCGGAAATGAGATATGTTCGATTATCCGTAAAAGGTGATTAACTTGTACTCTCATTCCTCGCTAGTAAGCCTCTCGCATCGCATCAACTGCTTAAAATTTAACTGGGTATATATGTAATCTGTTCACCTTAAGTGCAATTTTGCTTTTGGAACTTCATGAATATAAAATGTAAAGTATGAATAAGTCGTGATAAGTACGATTGATTTACGCATTTCATGAAATAAATCGACAAAACTTACGTGTCGTCTAAAATCTGTCATGATGATCCAGACGGCATCGCTATCTCTTCAAGAGAAGCAGCGTGGTATATTTTCGTCACCATCTCTTTGCTACTTCTCTTTATCATCACAATTTTCTACGTTTTATATAGAAAATCTGCTGCGCATGCTCGACTTTAATTCAGAAAGCACCAACAGCTTCGCAGATACGGCTCAGGACTCTATGTACGACTTGCAAAGACTCTAATATGCATTGTAGCTCAACCTCATGGAATTTTAATGCATATGTAGTGAGCGCTGGGGTGACCAATGGAAAGTTCTCATCTACGATCGATTTTGCCGTGACATCATTTCACCGATCCTTAAACTGCACGAGCTTCGTAAAAAAGGCGTGACATTGCACATGTTGCTCGACACAGAACGAGACTCAATACCTGACGTTCCAGCCATCTATTTTGTGGAACCTACGCGTACGAATTTAGAGCGTATCGTTTCAGATTGCACAAAGGAGCTCTATAGTTCGGTGCACCTTAATTTTGCCTACCCATTGAGTCGAGAATCACTCGAATTTCTCGCTCGTGCTTCGGTAGAAGCTCAATGTACTAGTATGGTATGTCGAAAGACTTTAGTTTGTCGATATTAGTATTTTGACGACGAGTTTGTATATGTAGATTGCCAAGGTTTACGATCAGTACACGAACTTTGTGTCGCTGGAACCAACTTTGTTTTCGTTAAATTTGTCGGAAAGCTACCGAGCGTATAACGATCCGAATGTGGCGGATGTGCAGATTGAAGAGACGATGAATGTCATCGTTAAAGGGCTTTTTTCCGTCTTAGTGACGTTGGGAAGCATACCAGTGATTCGTTCTCCTAATAATGATGGACCCTCGAGAATGGTAGCAGAACAGCTAAGCTCCATGATTCGCGACCACTTGGTACGAAATTTAACATCTTGATTTGTAACGAAAAAAAAGCATATTGACGTCTACGATGGCCGTACAGAATTTACGGAATGGTGTATTTACTGAGAGCACCTCGAATTTCCAGGTATTGCTGTATTTTGGCGAAACGTTGAGTGTCCTTGACTCATGTATGCATTTATTCTGATATTTGACAGCGTCCACTGCTTATTATTATGGACCGAAATGAAGATATCGCTTCCGGTTTACATCATCCGTCAACATATCAGGCGCTAGTTGATGACATTCTATCCATCCAAATGAATCGCGTCAAAGTATCTGTTAAGTCTGTTAGTGGCGATGACGGTGGGAATGCTGGACGAACTACAGAACGCACTTACGACTTGGATGTGACGGGTGACAAATTTTTTGAAAGGCATGCCGGCAGCCTTTTCCCCGATGCTATTGATGCCAATGAAGAAGAAATGAAACAGGTTACGCGAAAAGAAGAACAAATTCGAGCACAGACAGGTGGTAATGATGCATTTATAAATGGCACAAAAGATCTGGTTGCTGCAGTGGACACACTTCCAGCACTAGTGGAGAAGAAGAAAATGCTTGAAGTGCATACCAATATATTCCATGCAGCATTTGATGGGGTGACAAAGCGCCATATACCATCATATTCAATGCTGGAGCAGAAATTAATTGATGGGTTGCACGTTGACAAGGCTGAAGTGTTACAACTGTTGTCGAGTACCCAAATGGGTACGTTAGCTGATAAAATGCGCTTGTTGATCATCTACTTTCTATCAAGTGGAGTCAGTGGTACGGAGCTTGCTGAGTTCGAAAACGCTTATAAGCAGTGCGCTGCAGCGTCGGAACAACCAGAGGCATATATGCAAGCATGGAAATTTCTTCGAAAGCACTCAGCATTTCAGCGACGTGCGAGTGTCGGAGCAAGTTTGCAGTCTGAGAGCGGTACTGGACCCGATGGTGGTGTCAATATGAGTAGGTTTAAGGGTCTTGCACAAGGGTTTCTCGCTCAAGCTACTGCAAGCTTTAAGAATTTTATGCCCGAAAACAAGAAGCTGCACGTCACTCGTGTCACGGATGCCTTAAGTGAGATGAAGCCGAACAGTGAAGATGACAGATTTCTCTATTTAGATCCAAAGGTAAGCTTTTTGATGTGCTTAAACTGACCGCAAGTAGCTTAATAAGCGTTTGGATGGGTGCTCGTGCAGATAAAAGCGAGCGGTGACGTGCCACGACAGCGAACTCCTTTTCGTGAAGTCATGGTATTCATGATTGGTGGCGGGAATTACAATGAATATCATAACTTAATGGCCTACGCCAAGGGACAGCAACCACCGCGATCGATTTGGTATGGATGCACGGAGGTGTTGAATCCTGAAGCGTTTTTGCACCAACTCGGCTCGATCGGCATTTAGTTTTGTCTGTGATATCCAGCTTACAAACAACTTCAATAATCTTTTCGAGCTATACAATTGCGGCGTAGCGAAACCTTTGTTTCGAAAGAGTTCTCGTGGAAGATCGATTATCTCTAAGCTTTGCAAAAGTTTTCTATGCCCTTCATCAATCGAAGAGTCATTGATGATCTACAGTGCTGGAAACTTAAACTAAATTGAAGCGTATCTATAAACGTTCTTTACATCTTTTTGAGACGTGTATGCTCGGCTTACATCGACACTTGCTTTGGAACGTCGTCAATTGAAAATGATGCCGTGAAGTCTTGTACTGCGGTCGATCTATCTGCTAACTCGATAAAATTTGGATACGCAAAGAATTATCAAACAGTAGGTTCCGATAGCATCAAAGACACTGGGCTACCATACATCTTTAGCTTCTATCTTGTCAAATTTGTGATCTCTTCAATCACTTCATATACAGTAGAGCGTAAAATAATCCGAACACCTTTTTCTGCAGCCAACTTTGCCTCACGAGTGTGCAGCTTCACATTGAAGCCAAAAATTGGGCACTTGCCATTGATAGCAACGTCTATGTCTTTTGTCGAAATGTTTCCGATGCCAAGCCGTACAGTCTGCGTCCACGCATACAGATGAAAATCGATTAGAACAAGTGATAACCCTTATAAGCAAAACTCTTACCGAAATGCCTGGAATCTCGTCAACAGTGTCCTGAATACTAGTGAGTGACCCTGCACCATCCGCTTTCACAATGATGGACTGTGTTTCGACCAACTCGTTTTCATTAATGACACCACTTGAGTATTCTTCAGCCTTGCCAGTCATGAGATCACCATTTGAAGTAATTTCTTCATTTTCATCGGAACGTTCGGTTGAGTATTCAGCATCAGTAGTTTGCGTATCATCTTCATCCGGTAAGCGAGAGTCATTAAACTCTAACGCAAGTCCCCTATCAAAAGCCAGATATCAATCATTTATGGCCTTACTCTTTTCATCATGTACGTACCTCTGCTCAACTACCTGCTTCGCTCTAGCTTCAGACAATACAAAAAAACCATGTTCGTTTGGGGCATCCACATTCTTCGACTTGTTGGAGTAGGTGATGTCAACAACTGTACCCGGCACTGCGCGCTCAACATGACGACCTTCAGCGTCACGCATAGTACGCACAACACCATGGATCATGCCAGCTACAAAGTGCTGCTTTGCAACCAGCTCGCCATGTTTTATTAACACACGTAACACCGTTCCACGTCCTTTAATTGCCACACTTTCCAGCACAAGTCCTTCAGCATTCATCTCAGCTCCAACAGCTGCATCCAACTTGTGATCGTCAGCCAGTTTCGTCACTAGCTCCCAAATCGTATGTTTTAATTCATCAAGACCGACTTCCGTCTTCCCCGAAATCAATAAAACGGGACTTCTCTGCAAAGCGACAAACAAGCGCAATTCTTTTACAATCTTCTCAACCTGTTTGTCGCTATCATGAAGCAAGTCGATCTTATTGATACAAATAATTGTTGGCAATTGAGCGTCCTCAATGGCCCCGATCGACTCTTCTGTCTGCATTAAAACTCCTTCATCAGCCGCAACAATAAGTAAAACTGCGTCTGCAACCTGTGCAGCATTCGATCTCATACGAAAAAAATGAAAATGACCAGGAGTATCTAAGAATGTAACTTTCATATCATGTTTGATCGTTGCTTCGCACACATTGATTTTCTGCGTAATTCCATGCTTCTCGTAAGGTGCAATTTGTTTGGATTCTGCTTGTGTTTGTCGTCTCAACGTATCCATTAACGTCGTCTTTCCATGGTCCACATGGCCCATAACAGCAAGAACAGGCTGACGTCGACCTAATGACTCCTTTGTGTAACTTGTCATGACGTCCGAGAAACTAGGCTCGACATCATCATAAGCGATTTGAATACCAAAGCTTTCAGCTACCTCTTGTGTGACACGATAGGGAAGGATAATGTCTTTTACGCTACGAAACTCGGCGGATATATGAGTCGTAGTCTTAAAGTGATAACGACGATTAGTTTTTGTCACCGTACGCTTCAGCACCTTGTCCAACGGCTGGCGTAACGCTTTTGCTAAGTCACGCACGCGAATATACGCAGGAATTGCTGGTGGTTGATTGCGCGCTTCCATCACACGCCGACGCTGCTCCTGTCGCGCAAACTCTTGTTCCTGCACCATAGCTTTAAACTTTGCAATACGTGCCATATGATCTTTATGGCGACGCATACCACCACGAGCTGTGCGTAACGATCGCGCATTAGTAGGAAGAAGGAAGAAAAGGTGTGAGGATGCGGTGGCTTGCAGCATGGAGACTGCCAGCCGTGATTGTACTCGCCGTAGCATCACTGGTGTGAATAATGATCACATAAAAGAGAGCATATTAAACAGAGATATGGATAGATTGATGGGTCCCATGTCGTTGCAAATTTCAAGAAATGTAATTAGCAATCACGTTGGACGATGTTGGACCCTCGCGAGACGTTTTCAGGGATCATGGGTGCCTTTTGCTGCGTGTATGCAGGACTTCCGTTTGAGGTAGTAAAAGTACGACTGCAAACACAGGGGACTACCAATGCATATACTGGTGTAGTTGATGCGTTTCGTCGCATTGTTACTGAAGAAGGATTGGTGGCGCTTTGGAAGGGTGCAGTGCCGGCACTGTCAAGCTCGATAATTGAAAATTCAGTGCTTTTTAGTGCCAATGGGTTTGCTAAGCGTACGATTCTCGCAATGTACGCAAAGCAGCGCGAAGATGCGTACAAGCTCACGGTACTAGACGAAGCTTGCATGGGTGCCTTTGCTGGCTGCTTCTCCGCCACGGTAAGCTTTTAGATTCTACTCTTTGAAGATGAACGTGAAACATATTCCTTTGATATCGTGCAGGCTATCACAGTGCCAGAAAATATCAAATGCAAGCTCCAATTTCAACGTGGCCACTTAGGCGAAGGACGTACGTTGTGATCTAATGCTGCAAGTATATTAATAACATGAATGACTCCATGGTGTCAATATTGTAACGTTAAGGTTATCACGGCCCTTTAGACTGCTTTATTAAGGTGGGCAAGGCAGACGGTCTCAAAGGTTTATTCCGAGGATATAGTGCGCTGCTTCTGCGCGACGTACCGTTCAGCTTTCTCTTTTTCGGATCATATCAAGCATACACATCAGAAATGGTCAAGGTGCTAGGTAAGGAATCGAAGGATCATTTAAATCCTGTCGCTATTCTTGCTAGCGGTGGTCTTGCTGGTGCGACAAGCTGGAGCATTATGTTTCCAGTCGACGTGTTAAAGTCACGGATGCAGACAGCCAGCTCGACAAATTTACTTTCACTGCGAGGAGCATTTCATGCTGTCAACTCAGAGTTCGGAATTTACGGATTCTACCGCGGTTGGTCAGCCGCAGTATTGCGTGCGTTTCCAGCCAACGGCTCGCTCTTTCTTGGCGTGGAGATGACACACCGCGTTTTCCATTGGCTTGACGCACGGCATGCAATCTAATAAAGTCGTCATGCTATATAAAGCACCCGGCAAGGCTGAAGTCATAATCAAACCTTTTGAGTAATGAATAGATATGCATAAGAATAGAGCAGTGACGACAAGAAGTTAAGAAACAATACTAACTGCGACGTAGCACCAACGTCCATGGCTCTTATCTTCGACCGACAGTAAAAATATGCTCCAAGTACTTTGAACCATATAAAACACAAGGACATCAATACGAGATCCTGCTCAGTTTGCTTTGTTGTTGTCTGCTTTATCTTCTTCCGGTCTCTATGGCGTATACAATGACAGTGCTACCAACTTCAAATCGAGAATGTAGTATAGAATTGGACAATGATTCTACGAAAACGTTTGATGCCGAATGCATGAATATTGAGACCTTAGCGCAACTCTTAGCACTTAAATCCACAGAGTTGATGCAATTGCAACGCACTCATGAGGACTACGTTAAATCAAGCTGCGAGTATGAACGTGAACTCGAGACTGAGCTTGAGCAATTTGAAAAAAAGACACAACAGCTTGAATTAATGAAACTACAACACGAGCGCGATAAAAGTGTTTTGAATACTGATGTGAACGAATACAAAGACGAATTACAATCGACACACCGGCGGGAACTTTTGCTTAAAATGCAATTGGAAGACATGAAGTGGAAGATTCAGAGATTGGAACAAGCGAATGATGAGCTGGAGACTTCGGCTCGGGTGGCTCGAGCTACGATTGAGGACCTGCATCACAAAACTGAGACGTTACAAGAGCAAACTGTCTTTTTGGCTCATGAGAATGAAGAGCTACTTAAGCAGCTTTCGTCTATAATGGTTGCTGAGGTACATCCGGCATCAATAGAAGCCTTTGAAATTGCTAGTCTTCGCAATTCTCGTAAATCTTCGTCGCATCATTCCGATTCGATTCAAGAAGAAATCTCGTTGAAAACGAAGCAAAGGAGAGGTCGTCGCCCGGAAGTGCTTGAGACTTGTCTCCACCTTACTTGTCGAAAGTGCCGCGCAAACTTACCCCATGCTCACAATGGAGGAAGTGACAAAAAAGGCTCCGTCTCCAATTTCTTTGAAAGACTCCGAAATTTCCTGTTTTGTCATGAACGCTGACTGGCTTACCTGTCGGTGCTGAAGATGGATGGAGACAGACGCGTGTTTCATTTAAAGTGATACTGCATCCACTCACATTTCAATCGACTACGCTATCAACAAACGATACGAAATAAGCAACAGCAAAGTCTCTGGCTGTATAAAGCATGAATCTATTTACTATCTTCTCGGTGCTGTTAGCCTCGATTGCCGAAATCAATCTCATCTACGCTAAAGTGTGCACTTCAAGGGACCTGAGCGTTTTTAATGAAGTGAGTAGCCAAGTGAGCAAATGCTTTCAAGACAGCAAGGTGACGTTTCTTGTTCCTCCTCGAAAGAGCTTAACAAAAAGCCAGCAGTCTGCTTTGTGCAAGTCTAAAGCATGTCAAGAGATGATCGGATCCATGGACGATTTGGATATTCCGAATTGCGAGGCGACTTTCGATCTGAAAAACATGACGCTACAATCGAGTCTTGATAAGTTTGTGGCGGCTTGTGATACCACGACGTCAACTCCAATGCCGATCAAGCGCCGCAAATCGCTTGAATCGTCGTCGTCTAGCGATTCAGGCTCGTTTTCTAAAGACCGCCGCTACAGCAATGGTGCAGCTGCAGCTCAATTTGAATTGCTGCCGCAACTATCTGTGCTTGTTGCTATCGCCATGATATCGCTGGGGCTTTTGCTTCCTTGATCATCTATGAATGAAGTGCGTATTCGACGTAAGCATTGAGATGCAAAGCTTGAATTTTTGTTAAGCGCGAAATATACTTGAGAGCTTACATTTTTGTGTGCTTTCTCCATCAATGTTTTTACAAGAGGATCTGATCGGAGTTCAACGCTAAATATGATCTGTGTGATTGTAGGTATCAGCTTTAATTTCATTGTTAATCCTTGCACAACAAGTCGATTGCTCTCAGAATGCATTACAAGCTTTAAAGATTTAAAGTTACTTTCATTTGTCTTTAACAACTCGTGCCAGCACGGCACTGTGCTGTCCACCAGCTTCAACCAGCAAAATCTCTGCCTTACCAAATTGTTGGTCCTTGCCTTCTTTGTCTTTGCCTGATATAGCCTTGGACCAGTCTAACTGACGTGGTTTGTTTTCGTCACGATCAACTCCGTTGCCAAGTGCAAACATGTCGCCATATCCCCACGAGAAAATCTCGTTGCTTTCAGTAAGAGCAAGTACATGGTTAGAGCCTGAAGTGACCATGCGCACAACACTTGAGCTACTTTTATTGTGCGATGATATCGTCACTTTTTGCGGGCGGTCTTTAAACTCACCAGTGCAGCAACTCTCGAGCACACCAAGCTGACCTGAGTCTGCGCGACCAAACGTGTAGACGTCACCGTCATTGGTAAGTACAACCGAATGATGCGTGCCTCCGTCAACAAATGCAACGTTTTTAGAGCTTAAGTCTTCGACAAGCTGCAGCTCAGAGGAATTATCAGTGTTACCAATTCCCAGCTGGCCATAATTGTTCAAGCCGCATGAGTACAGATACCCGTTTGCACTCACTGCGAATAAACTATGGTAAGAGCCACAACCAATGGCCTTAACTACCGGAAGTGGGTCTTTACCAAGCATCACAGGCTTTGGCTGCAAGTGATCTCTATAAACCATATCAACCTTGTAATCGCCCTTGGCATCCTTCATTTCAGCATCTACTTCACGGCCAAGTTGACCCATTTCGCCCAGGCCCCATGAATACACACGGCCATCATTGGTGCGCACCAGATTAAACGAGCTACCACAGCGAACATCTGCAATGTTATCAAGTGCCTTAATCAAAAATGGCCTAGTCTGTTTACGCTTAAAAGCGTCTTTGGCCGACCGAGCATCACACCACTGTTTGCCCTCCTTGTCACGGTAGCAACCCCACGTGTAGACTTCTCCAGCCAAAGTCACGACAGCCGTGTGACAGTCTCCGCCCACAACCTGAATGGCTATGGCATCCTGCGGTCCAAACATTCCTACCTTGGTAGGGACATTTTCATCACCGTCGCGGCCCAGTGCTCCATCATCATCGCAGCCCCACGTATAGACTTCTCCAGATGCTGTAATAGCTGCCGAGTGGAGGCCACCGCAGGCTACACGAGCAACTTTAAGCTTAGCTAAAGAATGAACAACACGGGGAACTTTGGCCATAAGATCATCATCCATTTCAACGCCATGACCAAGCTGACCGCAATCACCACTGCCAAAAGTCAGAATTTGGCCATAACGTGCACCAAACTTTGCATCAATCTCGCGTGCATAATTCAAATACTCTTTCATGTTTTGTTCCCAGCTTTCACGTTTGTTGTGCGTCCATTGTGCCTTCAGGTTAGCAACAAACGCGCGATTAAGCGCTGCTAGTTGTCGGGCCGCTTCCTGCGCACGTGAGGTCGGTTTGACCGTTACGATCCTGCGTGCTTTCAGCACCTGCGTCGATGCACGAGGAAATACATCGGGTACGCTATCTTTGATCGCTGGGGCAACCAGACTCGCCTCGTACTGATCCTTCGACACACCCACGTCAACTCGTCCTCGCTTCATGGTTCTGTGGTTGTGCTGGAGTAATTGTAGCTTATAGTAGCCAATCACACGAGCGCACCGATAGTACTACTAAACTAGAACGAAAATATCGGTATTTATGAAGATGAAGAAGAGGGGTGTAGCCCTCCCTTATAATGAAAGATAGCATACTAGTTTTAATCTAAATTGAATAAATCTCAATATTTGTCCTCAAGCGAACTAGACACCTGATTTCGTAGGGTACAAACCCGACCTTCGTACGTTTTCTATGCAAAATTCTGCGTTAAATGTGAATCTGCACAAATCGTCCAGCATTCCCCTTCTCTCTTTAAGTACCACTTGAAGACAATCGCACGACCGGGTTTTGAGGGGCTATTATATGAGAATAGAACATGAAAGTTCGAATTCTGTCTCCGGGAGGACAAGACTATCTTTACAGGTATATGTCTGTCGCTGGTCCCGATATGATTGGAAAATTGGCGACCAAAGGCGGCATTTCGTCGCCTGGGGGCGCTCACCAGTTTTGTTACTGCCTTTTTAGGCACATGGCACCCGATAAATATACACCGTAAGACAGCTGATATTAAGCATTTAGACTTTTAAGAAGAGGATGAAGAACCCCCCTAACTGGACGAGAAAACTGAGATGGCCTTGGTTTTGGACTTACTGTACTGGAATAAAGGACAGTCCGTCGCGCTTGCAACACGCTAGACGGTCACGTAAGAGAATGCGTGCTACGGTATAAATCTAGATAAACATTTGAAGTACGCGATGCGCGACTGTCATAACAGTAGACAATATGTGGAGGCTTTGACGGTGCGAAATACGGAAACAAAAAGCGAATGTGCCACGACGGGAAATTAACAAATGTTCAAGTAAAGTTTGTATGCTTTGACAATATGGAACGTTGTCTAGTCTAGGAGCTCAATTTGAGATACGATCTTATCTTAGGTCAAGCGTGGCGAGGACGCCACGATCCATATGTCGACAGGAAGTCAAACTTCTGTCCTTATGGAGCTTTGACAAGTCATGATTCCACCTCTTCTAATCATTAGAAGCACTTTTGGCGCGGACACAAAGCTGGAATAGCGTTCATTCAAACTTTAGAAGTGTCCGAAATTTTTAGTATGGTATCGGTAAGTGCCCCGAGCAAAATTCGAAAAGAAGCGGCATTAAACCGCAATCGCAAAAAAAAGTGGAAGAATTGGGCGTCACAATCTCCTGCGCAGAGCCGGTGGAGATGATGGTCGACTGGACGTTGCGAGCAGAAGGGATGAGCCATGAAGACAAAAAAGGATGACTAATCCCTCCAAGGATGTGACGGAACTGCTGAGTCGGAAGTATATCTGACGGTCATACCGTAGGAACACTAAATTCCCCAGGCAAGTGACGAGAAAAGTTATCAATCATTCTTGAAGTGCAGTCCTGATAGTTTTAAGTTTCTCCTCACGACAGCATTCTTGAAGTGTAGTCCTGATAGTTTTAAGTCTCTCCTCACGACATCTACAAAAAGGATTTTCAAATGTAGAAAATGATTTGTTTCAGATCCATGCAAGTTTTAACGAGACGGAAGGTATCAAAACTTGCCTCTTTTCCCCTGGATCAAATTTGAGTCACATGGCAATGGTATCGAACAGCGTGACGTCATTGATACTTTTTTGCGTACAAAGCTTGGAGCGAGTTTAGTAATCGAAAGTAAATTTCCCCGCTTAGGGCCGACTTTCTGTGTCAGAATTGTTTACGGAAAGTAATGAAGCATTATTTTTAAGAAAGCGGAATACAGTCAAGATTTTATCACTAACATGTTTTCGCAAAGTTATAGGCGTGCTGCTGAACAGCAAAATCTAGCTGAGGATTATGATCCCCTTTTGGTGAGATACAGCGATATTCCAATTTATTGGACCATTAATTCCGAGCGGATCTTCTAGATATGGCGGGCTATATGTCTCTTACACCGTAAAGCTCATGAAGCAGCTATCCCGGTCGTATCGTAACTATGCTCAAACCTGTATGGACGCGTATTCATCCATATTTCTGCAGAAAACGGTAGGGTGGTGATGACATTTAACACTCGCGCGCTTAGCTCGATTGTACGCCGTTAAATAGGCTTTCGATATGGACAAATGGATCTTTTTCACCGACCTACCCTCTCTGAATTGTTCAGCAGGGCCAGAGGAGAAAAATATGATAATGGCCATTGTAGATTGTTCAGTGCGTTTGCTAGTCAATCTGACTAGCGCCTTGCACAAGAACAGAGCACAACATGCCAACGTGGCTCGACCCCTCATCAATCTTTTCAAGAAATACTTCTGAAAGATGTGAGGGCGAAAGATGCGGCCTTTTAGTATATAAAATAAATTATCATGCGAGTCCAGATTCTAACTCTTCCAAGTTTACAAGGCCAGTCCACGTTGTTTGCGACGCTTCAGTCTTTGCAATTAGCAAATTTTGCTATAAACAGATGCCGATGGACATGTACGTGTGATAGCGTATGAATCTCACCGGATTTAATGCGGACGAAAAGAAGTACCCTGTTAATGTTAAGGAGCTACTTGCTACAAAAATACACTCGCCAAGATTATGATGCATCTGCTTTTCTCTCGTCGTTTGCGATCTTCAGATCATGCATCACCGCACACAACAACGTCATTACCACATCTGTCATAAGAAATCACAAAACTCTTATTCTCCTCGACCGAGTTTACCTCTGAGGTAAGATATGGGTTTAGCCTTGCAAAGGTGGTGAATGCGTTTTTGCGTCACCCATCCAAGGTATTTAATGTTACAATTTTGACGTCGCCTATTGATAACGCGAAGAGTAAGGCCTACAAATATGATGTAACATGTATTGCACGACTGACAACTTTGACAGGCAGAGAATTTGAGAAATCCGATACCGCTTTATCGAGTCGCGCTACGCCTATACTTCTATGCCTTATTTCAAAAATTGCTGTATGACAGGATTAACCCGCACGACATTCAATACCTACATCCAGTACAAAACACTGTATGGTATAACATGGTAAATCTTTCGATGATATCCATACAAGGGAAACGACACATAGCTCGATGAGCGTTATGTGATTGTGGCTAAATATGTATGAGTGGGCAAGCACATATACGCGCTTGTGCGGATTCAATGTATCAAATCCAGCCGCACGCGTCACCTTTGGCCAGCCTGCTAATTTCGGCACAGTATTTGCAATCTGGAGAACTTCATTATCGGTCAATTGAATATGCGTACGACAATGCCAACACAATCTGTATAGGGGAACCGCCTGAGATGACTCACGTTGCTGCTATCAGCAATACAGCTGGCCAACACAATTTGTATAGGAGAACCGTCTGAGATAGCTCACGTTCCTGCTTCCAGCAATACCGCTGGCCAACACGGCTTACTCGTAGCGATTGTACTGATTAGAGATCTTAAATTTTCAGCAAAGCTATGGAGAGCATTGTATAAGGTGCTCAGCACCAGACAAACATGTCAATTGCTGAGCATTAGCAAACATATGGTCAGACGGAACGCATTAAATTGCGTTATGAAGGACATTTCTTAAAGCACATGCGCGGTGAGTCCGCAGTGCGGCAAATTTAGCTCTTGATACTCAGTGAGTTTGCGTTGAATATCACAACACATGTGAGCTCACTCTTTACTGCGCTTTGCATAAACGGCATGGAACACCCCCGAGTGCCTTCGACCCTTTCATATAGTGGCTTTATCTTTTGAGGGGAGAGAAGCTATCAGACAATTAGACTTGCTGATATCAGCCCGCTACACTATGTATAAAATTATATGTTTCATCACGATGAGCTTTCGCATCATGCGCACATTGGATGACAACAATAGCTACAAGCCATGATGTATCAGATCAACACGCCGACGCCAGCGTCAAGCGATTCAGATACAAAAATCGTGTGGCATACTGTTTTGTTGAATGCAACCAATTTATAATTAGTGCTTGCGTTCTACAGCGCTAGATTACGATTGCTCTACATCTGACGATTCACGATCAAAGCGAAAAATGCATGGTTTTGATGATATCCTTTTATAACGCGGCCTCACTGAATCCAAGCCATGATCACGCTCACACATGCCAATTGATAATAAAGAGCTCTGATTCAAACGTAACACCGTCTATACCGCCTACTGGAGCTGAGCTACCTTCAGATTTAAACATGCAAATTAGTTCTTTACCGCTGGGGGTAGGCTATTAGACGACGATGCTCGAAGAGCAGATCTAAGATCTGGCTTATTTCAGCCCCAATCGGATACCGTGACACTCGGAGAGAGTCGACGTGCCATGACAACCGTGAGAGCTCACGACAGTCAGCAGCGAGAGGGTCGACCTCCAGTAGCTATATTGAATAATCAAAGCCTTCTTGGAAAGCGTGGTGAACTGTGGGCTACACAAAGGCTGTTTTTAGTACCTGATGAGGCGGAAAGGTAACATTGCGTCGAAAGCTCGTAAAAAGCGATAAAGTAAACTAAAAATGCCGTGGCGCCACGGCTATTAGGACCTGGCGTACCCTTGGCTAGGTTTTAAAAACTGACAGGGTCGCCCGTCGCAGCGCTCTATCCGTAGTCGGAGGCGACCGACGGTGGCTAAGGCCTTACTTCCGGCGAGGCGTCCTTTTTTCTCAATTGGTGCACGCAACGAGTCATAACCTCAGTGGCACTTTTGAAAACTTTAGTACCCATGGCGTTTCCCAATGGAACTCTGGTACCGATGCTGCTCCAAGCGTAGTCGGTACTTCCGTAGATTTATGACTGTGGGCTGAGATATCGCTCACAGAGCGACCGTCTCACTCACCCTTCACTCTAGTCGTGAGCAGAAGGCCGTGTAGGAGCTTCTCTCCCGCCTTTTAATGGTTTAAAATTGTAATAACTGTGTGATTTTTCGGGCAAGAGTCAACGTGACTTTTGCGCTTGCAGTTAGTGGGTATTGTAGTCTTATGCTGGTGTAATTGTGAATTTCATAGGTAGCACGAAACCGATATCTATGAAAACGATGAGACTTGATACAGGAAATGATGTAATGATAGGCATTGTTGCATACACTAATTCCTGATTCTAAGAAATAAATGTACTGTTGACATACATGACGGTAGAGATCCTCGTTCCGCTCATGGTCGGAGCGTACAAATCCGACCTATATGCGTTTGTTTAAACAAGATCAGCCTCACTGAAAGCTGGAAAAGTGAGTGGCATCCAGCATATCGTAACACGAAAAGCGCCCGTCTAAATATTTATCTTATGTACTACTGCTACTGAAAGAAAAAGCCAAGCCTTTTATTAATTATGCACGGAAAGATATTGCTTAAATATTAACAAATCGAATAATATCTATCTTGCGACTTTTGGTTGGAAATGCATTAGTACAAACACTCGAGATGGACGCTGAATCAACAGAAGGTAACCCTATTGGAAAGTCAACGTGCTTGTTCGAGCATCTTCCGGAAGCACTTCCAGTGTTGCGTGATTACGAGATCCAGCAAAAATTGCTTCAATGGAATTTGATCGATTCATTACATTTACATCGTTTTCTTGTGCACCGTCGAATGCCTATCGAAGCTGATGAAGCGCTTCTATCAGAATTCTTTCAGGATAAAAACACTCGTCGCATTCTGCCGGTGCGTAGGTCAAAATTGTGTTCAGATCAAATTTAATGCGGGGGCTAATCTATAGTGAGCTTTAGAAAATTTCAGCACACCTCGGGAGCTACAATGACATCACAGATCCATCGAAGTCAGATAAAGCTTTCTCGCTGCACTTTGAACGATTGCGCGTCAGTGTAACGAGTATGGCTTTTTTCGAAAAGCTTGAATTGATGGGTATTGTGGCTCGTGATGGTAGTATACGCGGCTGTATGGATGAAGATTTTGACGGTTGTAGATCTGAGGATTTGCTCACCGAGATGCTGTCAAATCCAGACTCGGACAATCGCAACGTGTTCTCGATGGAAGATCAACAAGAATTTATATTTCACCTCTTTTCTGCACTCGTAATCGGCGGTGGGGCATTGCGTCAAGCAGACTCACGAGTCCAAGCCTATGAAGACGTCACACGAGCGCTATATCGTGCCCTTGTGTCCGTCAGAAAGACCAAAGTCGATGCTCATAATAATCAAGATATTGAAATCACTTCGCGCGTATATCGCGTACATGGTGCTTCGCTTTTTGAAGATCCTTCCTCACGTTTCCACTCGTGTTTTGTGATTCTAGATGCTCGTAAACGCAGACTCACAGTCTGGTACAGCCCGTTTCGAGCATCTTGGTAGACAGAACTAATTCATTTTATAATAATCTTTGATTGGTAATTATTAGCTAAAATTGACATCATTCTACTGATCATCATGGAGCGCGTGCCGATCCGTCTCGGTTCCCTCCGGACGTCATTAAAGCCTTCTTGCAACGTTTCAGCCTCTAATCTCTGCGAAGAAGGTACAACACTAACTAGTGCTTCACTATCTCGAGTCTGTCGCGTTTGCACGACGCAAGAAGCAAGATATACGTGTCCACGCTGCAATACTCCGTACTGTAGTGTGAACTGTTATCGTTCGCATGGCGAAGACTGTACTGAGAAATTCTTTGAAAGTCATGTGCGTGATGAGATGAAAATCATATCAAATCGAAGAAGCAACGATGGGAGGATACAGCAAAAGAGTATTCAAGAGCTACTAGAACGAGTGCGAGTATTCCAGAATGAACAGCAGCAGTTGGTAGACGATGAAAACGAGGAGGAAATGCTGACTAGTAGAATGGAAGAGCTAGCACTTCTTGATAAATCTGGACAATTGACGTTTGATAGTTTAACAGAAGAAGAGAAGCGGAAGTTTTTGAGAGAAGTAGCGGATGGAAGACTGGGCAAACTCGTAGAGCTCTGGTCGCCATGGTGGTTGATGAGTGAACGCAAGTATCGAAGCGAAACGTCCTCAAGACGCCGTCAATTAATCTTTGAGGAGATCAATGAGGAAGATCAGGTGGATAAGACTGCCGTGGAGCCTTTGGGTTTGTATCCCATTGGGATCTTTACACACAATGATGCGCAGCAGTTGCCGAAGAGTATTTGTGATTTATTGCCAGGTGGGAAGCATCCGTCACCACTATTGCGATTTCATTTAGTCGAAATGCTATCGGCGTACGCATTGGTGCTTCGAGTATACAATGGAGACTACACACAAGATATAATAGAAGCGGCATTCATGTTAATGGACCTTTGTTGTGTTCTCAATGAAGACACACGCTACGAAAGTCTGGAGCATGTTTGTCTTGCTTGTCTCGAGAAACAGTCTTCGGCAGGCCCTGCAGCAAATATGCTTGCACTCCAAGACGCGCAGCAAATCCTACGTACAGGTGTCTTTCTACTCGATGCTTTAAGTGACATGCGTGCATTATTTCAACGGTATCAGCAAGACCTGGAGTTTAGCGTAAAGGTTGACAGGAAGGTCAGAAAGGAGGTAAAGATTGCAAGAAAGAAACTCACGGCTGTGATGAGGAAAATCAGATTTTATCAAACTTGGGCAAACCTCACTCCAATCGATGAATTCCAGGCATTAGCTGCTGAGATCGCAGTGTACATAGAATTCCATAGAACGTTAGATAGATAAAAACAGACATCAAATCTTCCGTGTATTTTGCTTCAAGATCAGTTCGTATGATTTGCAATTTATTGTAAGCACAGCACAAGCTACCGCAAGCTTGATTCTTTGGTTTTATTTTGCACCACGATGCGTCGTTACAGCAACCTCCAATCGGCCCTTGCGATGTCGTATTTCCTGTCGATTTTACAGCTTCTTTAAGTACCAGTAAGCATGGCTTCTTTATCCTATTTTCACTTCTGTTGATGCACAGGGATCCTTTTCACAAATTGAACAACCAGCCTCTTGTTTCAAGCCGCTGGGGTTGGCGATCCTGTTTGCAGCGCTAGTAAGGCTGTAGTCCACTTATTAAACTCTCGTGTCGACGTTGCTGTCAGGATAAGCTTTTTCCCTGCTTGACTAAATTCGGGCGTCGTGATGATAATAGTGAGATTGCGTGGGTCCGAGATGTCAATTTTGGCATCCGCAAGAGAAATCGTGCTGCTTTTAGCGCCAACCTGATGAATCATACTTTCTTTCTTGTACCCTGTAAGACGATTGCCACGCAATATGAAATACCGCTTCTTTGAGACAAGGAATCGCCTGCTGCTCGCCACTTTTAAAATCCCCTGTGTGCATGTGAAAGGCAAGATAGCACGGACCCAAATGACAGGTCCGATGAAATTGTCAATCAAGACGTACTCCGTCTTACTTGTTGATATTGTGAGCTCCTGAAACTTAGAGCGTGAACTCACAGTCACAATCTGTGAGCACATGATCTCGTCTTCTAGTAAATTCGTGTCTTTATTGACAAATAATAGTCGTTCATGATCGGTCAGTAGCAGATGGAAGCGTTTTTTGCGCTTCAGCGACACAGGTCCAGCTAGTAGAATTTTCTCTCGAGTCTTAAGTAAGTTTTCCCACAGCCGCATGAACGGAGACCGGACAAGTGCCACGAGAGCATTCGTATTCTTTCGCTTCACAGCACAACAAACGTCTGGTCGCATAGCAAGCACCATATCCTTTAGCATCTCCACTTCTTTATGAGTTAGTACACCATCACTGCCCATTCCTTCGCAAAACTCTAGCATTTCCTCTACAAGCATATTTTCGCCATCTACCCCACTCATCATGGACGATGCTGAACCACGACGTGATCCAAGACTATCTACGGTACTTGGTCGAGGTGACGGTGCTACTGTCGACGCAAACGAGAACCGGTTCGTCATGGCAGCCGTTGATCTTCCAGGTGTTGGAGGCATGATTTTTGAACGTGCAAAAATCACGACCATAGGACGCGTACTGCGACTGAGTAGACTGATAGCACGGTTATACTCGACTCCATTAATTACTACTCCATCAACTGCATGTACAATATCCGAGATGCGTACACCATGAGCTTCTGCATAGCCAACGATATTTGGATGTGCCATAGGCAAGTCCTTGACAATAACATTGACATCGTCCGTCGTGATAGTCATATTAAGACTAGGACCACGAAATTCAACTGCAAAGAGCCCATCACGTCGAAAAGGACGAAAGAATTGAATGCTCAATGGACGCGTTTGTGCTTGTAGCATTTGTACAACGTTATCATAGCTGCGACCAACAGTTCGTGCTCCATTAACTTTGTAAATGACATCGTTAGGCTGGATAACTCGACTGGCTTCGGCTTCACCTATTGCACCATTCGGTTGACGTTTAAAATGATTAACAATCACACTTTCATTATGTTCACGGATTGTCATGCCTAGAGATCGGTCTTGAAAAATGACCTCAAACACTTCATTTGTTTTCATTGGAGCAAGCGCTTCTGTCTTTGGAGACAGACACAAACATAATGAGTCTTTCATATTACTCAACACTTCCTTTGTTATATGTACGAGACTCGAATTCGCAGTATCAATGAGATCCACCCAAGCTTCATCCGATACGCCAAATTGTGCACGTAATTGCGATTCAATGAGACTCTCAAAGACTTGGTCGGGTACGTTTACATCCCATGTGATGGTACGCACAGAGCCGTCGTCCAAATCGATGACGCGGATACTACACGAGTTCATCTGATTCACAAGGTCAATGAATGACTGACTCCTTACTATTGTGTGACTTGTAGTGAGATTATTGCCGTGTGAGCGAAAGAGGGCGAATGTGCCCGATGAGGGAGAACAGCCGCTTTGGTCGAGGTGTCAAAAATTGGCCCCGTCGCTGATACATAATATCCTCTTGGTTGGAAAATATTGTTTCGAGACCTGTTCTTATTCGATAATTCAGTTGTAATATCGCCTTTAAACTACTGTTTAGGACTTGATTACTAATAACTTCTGTTGATCCTCGAGCTTATAGCATTTCTTTCGGCTAAATATGCGCTACTTTCCTGCTCTCACATCCTTGTCGAGCGTAAATTGAATCGCATTCGACACCTTGACTGGTCCTTACCCCAGTTTCTTACAACAAAAATCAAGTTAAAATTTTGCAAATCGACGTTGCGACCTTACTCACAGTCGTTTTGTAATCGAATAGAAAGAGTTCCTCGTAATCAATAGAGTTATTAACGTAAGATCAAATGAAATTGTAACAATAGAGGAGTTTACCATCGAGTAAAATAGTAGCAAGTGTTATTGACTCGGTAAAAACGCACAAGATTATACGTCTGTATATGCAATTGCTACAATGATAATCTAAGATACACGCCTCATGCTACCTGACGACCAACGAAACGCCTGGTCCACCATCTCGACAAGACGACAATGAATCAGTAACGGTACATGCGCACGTCCAAATACATGGCGAGGCGTCACAGTAAATATGAAACATTACATATCAACCTGAATATGTGTCAGCACGTACGTGTACTCTCTTTCCAACGTCATGTGTAAAATCGCCGCGCCAATGTGGTGACGAATCGTTGCAAGCGCTGGACTGTATTATACTGTATCAGAGACGCTCGAGCAAAGAATTCTTACTTGACATAAAGAAGAAGATTTACTGAGCGCTGACCGAGAAATTCATCGCTATTGTCGTTGTCAAATCATATTCATGTTTTATTCCTTGGGTTGTTGACAATATTTTTCTGAGTATAAATTTAATGCAGTAATGTCGTAATATTGTGATAAAATTAAGAGTCGAAATGGAGGATTTTTCTAGTATCCGAAACCCCATCAGAGTGCCATAAATATTCTTGACGACTACCAAGACTGCTTATTTTTTGCACGTCAGGATATGTGTGACGGTGGCATGCGAGGCTGCCGTTGACGAAGGCGAAAAAAACAAAAGTCATCGACGACACTGTCTTGAGTACCAGCGATACAGACAATGTGCTCGACGAAATTGGATTCGTAGTTGACGGGTAAATAGCTAGAGAACAAAAGACGGCTCACTCGTCAAAGTCTTATATCATCCCTCGGTATGCCTCAGCAAAATTGCTCGCTTACGACCTATCATGGACCCAAACACATGGCAGCTAGTCTGTGTTGGCGATATCGTCTCCCGGGCTCCCTGGGGATATTTTTGATCGGTGTTAAAATTATTCATGCAGTTCAACGACACTAATAAGCTCCGAAACGCTGGTTTTGCTGGATATCATTGGCCTAAGTGGGCTTCCAGTAAGTGGAAGACGAGACCATGACTTGGAAAGGAATATGATAATGGGCAGAGAAAGAATCTGTCGAAACCGGCTACTCCTTTTTCGGTTCTTATTCGGCCAAAAAAATTGTCGCTGGTCAGAGTGTACCGCTCACTATGATAATTAAGCTCACAATATCATCATTACGGCACACATGACCGCGCGCATGCTCGTCTGGCAGTGCTACTCTTAAATGTCAGCAACACGCTATAGGTAACCCTATAAAGTCCATTTACCGATACTTAGAACCGGGTTTGATTTGAAACATTGTAAGCGTTACCGAAGCACCAAAGCTTTTCGGCTGCACAAGCATTTGCATTTTCACACCAGCATGACGGGCAATAGCTGAAATGAACTAAACCACGGATTTTGACTGCGCTGGGGTACGTACCAACTCCGCTGTTACCAATCGTACTTAAAGTGAAGCTCAGAATAGTACCTTGATAAAGAATCATAAGTAAATTTGATACGGACAAGATTTGAGATCCCACAGATGAGAGGTCAGTGATTTCACATGGATTTCTTTTGTTCACGCTATACTGTATAGGTATAAGAGAGTGCTGTTCACAGCTCTAAAACACGGCACACACGCTAGTGCGACAAGGAAGCGATTCTTGTCGTGAAAAAAGAAGGTCAACCCTGACTTGGATGGATGAAGAGCGACTTTAGACCTTAACGATAAATTTGCAACTGAATTTATTACGAGTTAATGGTTCCCAGCTGCATGCAAAACACTTCAAGGGCTCTTACAGGTTTTATCCATAAAATCTTGGGTTGCTAATATGTAAAGACAAGTGTGTTCTGAGGTTGAACCTCAGCTTGAATTATGCAAGATCTTGGATCTACGGAGCTTGAACTTCGGAAACCATGAACTCCAAATTTGATGGCAGCTATCCAGAAGAAGCGACTGGGATATGTCACCCACTTCGAAAAACAGAAACACGGCGGTCTTGTCGCCAGTACAGATCCTCAAGAAGGCAGCTGCGTTCTGTATCACACAGAAATTTAGTGACTTCATAGAAGATGTCACGTAAGCATTTGGGAGCATCATACTGTAATCTTCTTTTTCTTGATTTCCACAATGCTTACACAAGGTACCACCTTCATGTAATGGCTAAGTGTAGCCTATTACACTAAAACTTAGACGTATAAGGTATATATATAGCATCGTTTTATGAGCTTGTGGTCCTTTAAAATTAAACACTGTTAGTTTAGAGATAAAAAGCAGTACGACACATTTGCCCAGCCAAGTACTGATGAGGTGACATTCAAAATCGAAAGTTAAAGCTGCATCAATATTTAATTCATCTTATCATAGTAAGAGCTATATTTACCTCTAGAAAGAAACTTTGCAAGCAAGTACAAAAGTCGGGGAGCGTTGAAGATACAGGGCGTGCATCAAAACGTGTGCGCGACGTCGTGCGACGTCACGCTACTTACCATACAATTATTGTGACAGCTTCCAATGACCGATCAAACTCCACCTATGCTTCGCATCATCAGTTATCAAACAAAAACGAGTGTTTGAATTCTAACTCGTTCCGGTCCCGCCATTTGGAGATGCCTAACGGCTGAGGTTGGTCTGAAAATTCTCACTGCATAGAAGTTGGTTAGCAAAGTCAAAATAGTGAAGCGGGGTGGTGCGCGAGCCAAGTCTACGAGAATTACCGCAGAGGCAATCGAGCTACTAGAGAACAATCTCATCGAAAGCTTAATGTTATCTACAATGTCGAGCATTCAGAAACCATAATTATCTTGTCCACTTGTACAATAAGCATCTTCTCGTTGGGCTTGACGTGCACTAAAAAACAGATACGCAACGAGCCTGCAACAACAATACGAACAGGCCGGAATGACTGATGTCTGCGGAGATACTACAAAATCATTCGAGCGAGCGCAACTGCGCAGTCAATTACGACGAAACTACCGTTATCGTCTACGACAAGAGTAATAAGGTTATGGTAAAAAAATGTCTCGCAATGTCGTCATTTAAAAGCTCCAATCAAATGCCTTGTACGCAACAGAATTCAGCGAGGAAGCCACAAAAGCGACGCTGCGGTTGTTAAAGTGTGAAATATGGCGGTACGAGAATCAAAAAGTTTCTATAAGCTTCGTCGGATAGAAGATCGTCATCGTCTTCGACAGCTCTCCTGCGTTTACAGGCGGATGAGCAAGTCGTCAAGTACGATAACATAGAGCAAATTGGAGTCGGATCAAGCATACTTATGTTGAACAGATTGTAATCAAGTGTTGTGTCAATGATCTTCAAGGCATATGTCTGGCTGGTTCAGGTTTTAGATCGAGGGAAAATATGGAGCCGACGTTGGACGACTCATTACAACGAAAATGTTCACTTTCGATGTCTGAGCGTCAAATACAGAAATCAAAGTGGGCCGCGCGCGTTTAAATATGTTACGCTGTTCACGCTACTTTATCTGATAAGAACTCTGCTGTGATGCTGTAAAGAAGCTAGCGAACTGTAGCTTCTGTGCTTTGGGCTCTCATAGCACTTTCGTCCGACTTAGAATATATTCTTGACATCGCTCGCAGCGTTTATATCCAAGCGTCACCACGTCTGTAGCTAAACATACTCCGAAAAATTAATTTTTTATTCTGACTTTGTTTGTCGCCTTCTCAAATTTGTCCCTAAATAAGTGCAGCATTTGAATGAGTATATCGTCGGTGCGTCAGTGAACACAGAATCTGAGAGCTAAAGCGTTTGTCGTTTGAGATATGCAGCACCTAGTCGCGTCTGGTAGCACTTGTCATAAATCCAGTGACCAAGTCCAGATCCATATTGACGAAACTTGATATGCTTCCCTATCATCCCCGATGCAAAAAAAAGAAAAAGAATATTCTACTGTCGTAGGTTGATCCGGAGGGGATCGTTCCCATCAAATTGTTTTAATAACGCTGTACATGCTTCTCCAGGGTTGTCTTTACTATGCGTGAGTGTTATAGTTAGCTCATGTGTATCTCCGACACCGCGACGTAATTGCTCCGGATATGTTGGGGGATGTCGATACGATCGAATTTGCTGGTTTCAGACTGGCTACACTTTCTGACTAAAACAAAGATGTTGTCATGATGAGTAGAGCGTAGGGCGTCGATTGCGCAACGCTATGGCTGCGGACCAAGATGCGTTAAATCAACCTGTCGATGCTAGAAGCAAGCGAACACACAAAATAGTAGTGAAAAAAGCAAATTCGGACGCTGTTAACCTGAGTGTCTGCACTGTATAAGACTAGCTCGGGCCCCCTTTTCATCGCACCGCTTTCGTCGTCGAGAGAAAGAGACTAGGATACATTAGTCAGCATTGCAAAGAGAATGCGAACACATCATGAGTTCAGTGTGGGATCATACAAGCTACAACGTGATGTAGCTTCAGGGGCTATTCAGGCGTAAGCCTTCTGTTAGAGACGAAGCAGCGCCTCAATTATCTCTTGTGCTGAGCAACCAATTTGATAGAATCGACCGTAAGCAATCTGTTTCCGGTCAGTGCCGCTTAGTGAGCAAGGCGTTGCATAATTTATACTAAACGATAAGTGTGCCGGCAGGTTTGCAAGGAATGCCACCAGTATTGTACGAGGTGGATAGCACGACTTAACTCCGGTATCTCATAGTTATGTAATGTCCACTGCGGCAGAGTTGCCCCGGCACTGCTATCGCTTATGACTTGGCATACCATCCTCCCTTCCTGTTGGAGGAGAGCCATTGTCTCCCGGCAGTGCTCGCCCTGCCTTCAAGCTGAGACTCGTACAGATGCTGTACCATTGAACCAAGGAGATCAACAGGGGGTTTGGCAGCAAGATTGTGAGATCGTAGGCGACTCACGTTGTGCTTTAAAGGTAGCGAATCCAAACAACAGGTATTGCTCACATCGGGTACCCCCTTCACTGACCTGTATTTTCATGCTGTAAGATGCAATAGACAACGTGTCTTTGCCACCTAGCGCGCGGATTAAATACAATATCTATCAACACCAAGGGTAATAATAAACACGACGCCGGTGGTGGTTCTGATTAGAAGCGAAATGAAAGTTACGAACGCATAGGTGTGTAAAGCTTTCGCTGTGATGTGGTTATAGACCATGGATGGGCTGAACTGACATGGTAAAGTCAACGGAAATTATTGCGACTACTGTACTCACTGCCGGAGTTTTCAATCTACCAAAGCCAGGCCTGGCACAAATAGACGAGCGGAACGTTAGAATGGGCACCACGGTGAGGTAATCTAACCATCATCGCCCTAGAGGACCGTCACTGATAGCTTTAAACTCATGCAAAGGATAACAAAGGCTAGTGAGACCCTCTCTCTCGGTCAGGTGGAATTGACCGGGGCGGTATCGAAGCGTCGCTGTGTCCGAACGAATTTGAGACTGCATCGGAAGCCTCACCAAGTCTGACCAGAATTCTGTCGGTCTCGAGGCATGCACATTCCTTAGATTCTTGCCCAACCATTTCAAGTGCGTAAGGGAGAGTTATCAAAGGCAGGGATACCTAAAGGAAAAGGTATTGAACTGTGCATATCAAGTATAAGATCTTCAGGCTCGCTCCGAGCTTGTTGAGAATTATTTGTAATACGACATACGTGTGCGACCTGACTGGTCCATATATTGGTGGGAAATGGTTTAATAGGAATGAAATATGGTATCCGTTTACAATTCACATTGACATAAAGCTCAGAGGTGTCATGGCGCTAGTACTGATGAATACGACGGGTCCTAACAACGGAGAGGAATGGACACTCGTCGACTACTGGAGCAGTACAGATAATTTAGTTATTAAATACAGTAATTCATGTTATTTAATGATATGAATGAGTCTTATTTCTACATACATGTCGCTTTTGAACAGAGAGTAAACCAAAACTCTTGGGTCTTTAAAAATAGACAAATCTTCGGTGTATTTAGTATCAGCATCAAACTGACTTAACAATTGCGTCACCCTGTATATAAACAGCAAACTAGGTATCTATCTACTTGAGTGGAATTAGCGCGATCGACCTCTGAGGATTTGAAAGCGCGAAGTGTGAGAATCAAAGCTTCCTTTGGCAATGGCACAGCAGCACCATTACAATTGGCAATTCTAGTCGTCAGATTACGACCGAATCTGGACATGTGTATCAAAAATATGATTGGAACATGAATCGCTCACTTATCCAACTCGTGCGGCGAGACACCGACTTCGTGGTTTAGTTGGTGATCGGGATTTGGCGACATCAAGTCTCATATTGACTACCGATGACCAATATGACTTCACCAGCTACATTAATGCGATGATGAGTTATTTCAAGAAGCTTTCAGCCAGATTTGGCGAACGCACTATCGGTTTGCAATGCACTCATAAGCGAGCTCGCTTTATTGAGCGTCGTATCACTTGAAGGCAAAGACAAATAGATTTCACCTCCGAAGGTGCGAGGTTAGGGTGGCTCTGAACAAAGACTGTACCCTAGATGAGGGCGATAGCTTATCATCTCGAATCTGCCACACTAGGGATCCGCGCGCAAAAATGGTAGCTAACGTACTCATCTCTATCGAAAAGATATTTGTGACACTGGAAATACTTAGGAGCAGAAGTCGCAATTTTTTTTCATCGCCTGACCTGGCAAAGTTAATGTGATCAAAATTCTTGCCCCCCCATGATAAATAAAAGTATGAAAAAATGCCCTAAAATAGGAGCTGTTATAGCTAGGAAAACGGCATATTCCTGTTTGGAAGCAGTATCGATAGTAACCTTCTGGGGATTACATATAGGTGCAGCTTGCATCAAGACCCTTTGCACTCATACGAGCCTCTGTTGAGTGTCACAGTAAATTTGAAACACAGAGTCTGTGTCGCGAAAGCTTGTTATAGTGTGGGATGTAGTAGCTATATGAGCGTGTCAGCTGCCATGAATTTCTTGCAAGCCGGCGAGGTAGAGAGAAACAGCTCTCGTGTAGTATTGCGGTACTCGCTGTATTTGTAGCAGTATTAAAAATTTACGATATGGCCCACCCTTTTGTTGTTAAAAGAGAACCTGGGCTTTTTGTACCTTGTAGAGATCGGAATCAATAAAACCTCCGTTTACTAAAGCGATAGAGAGGTGATATTGATAGCCCGTGGTCTATCAATCGGTTATGGTTTGTTTGATGCCATGTAAATTTCCGGCAGAATCAAGACACTGTGCGACCATGTGCATGTCTTAGTAGTAGTTAGTATGCACATGCTTATAAGATGCTAAAAACGAATACAGAGACACTGGTGGTCAAAGGTTTTCTTAGAACCGCTGGTAAATTTGAAGGCCTCGAAGTGTCCGTTGCTGTCCTGTCCAGGACTAGACTTCAAAACACGGTCCCATCATAATAACCTTGCTGGTGTACCACAAGTGATGGATTGACTGGATACATTGGTTGTCACAAGTTCCACTATCAGAAGAGCTATGGTGGGTCACATGCCAACCTCTACAAGGAATTAAAAGCGCATTTAATGAGGGAATGAAGCTGCGAGAGCTGCGGTGCATACTTGAGCTTGCCCAAGAGATAAAACTTTTTGTATCAGTATTTCTAGCTAAATTTTGAAGGGAAAAGTGGTTGTGAGCCGCGGTCTCCAAGGAAGACTTAAATGGCGACTGTATTTCTAATATCTCGGCTGTGTATCTGATGATACACATTAGTACAGGTGTGAGCTAGGAATTCTCAGATATCACTTATTGTCGGGAAGATCAGAGAGACGTTTTGTCGCAGTATCCAGGGTTTGACCGGTATCCAATTGAGGGCGGCATACCTTCGTGCTAATTCCAGTGATAACAGCGAGCATGATTCACCAGTATAAGGAACAAGCTCTGTTGTCATTACAGGCGGTTAATCCTTGTCACGATGCTATGTTATTGCTGGGCTAGAAAGTTGTATTATGTGTCCATTGTGTGGAGCAGGAAGCTTCACAGTTTTGCGATGAGAATATAAACCGAGTTCGTAAATGGAGTAACCTGGGCTGTCCTAGGGTATGTAAGTCTGTAATATCCGCTCATCAATGCGGACAGAATCTCCTATGAGCTTTCAGAGCTCACCGTAATGGACACTTGCAAAAAAGCTGCAGAATATTTGTATATCTTACAAATCCTTCGCTTTTTTGCATTTGTTGTGGACAGTATAAGGCGTAGAATCACAAAATCAGTCTTATTATGTGTCCTTGTTCCGGCATGATATCTTGTGATGGAGCACCTAACATTTCTGCGATTTTTGATGAAAAGGATGTAATGAGGTATCGTGCACCTTGAACAGAGAAAGCGTTGACCCTAAGTTTTTAAATAATGCACAGTGGATAGAATTTAATTCACTGGCGCCTCTAAAGTAGTAATAATATTCTAACTACATTAAAGATTATAATTAGTTCTCATAATATTCGATTTGCAAGAATGACCAGCAGACAAACCTCTACCGAGTTGATATATGTGTTTAGCTTGCACTTAATTGATTTCAATTTGGTGAAGAGTAAGGATTTCTTCTCGCTCTCATCTCCGAGCAATTTATTTATACTGGTGTTGGCGTATCTGCTTGGTTAGCAAAGCAGCCACCATACATCGCGTACTGTATCCACGTGTAATCGCCGAGGTTGAAGAAGATATTTGAACAATGGAATAGTAGATTTATAAAAATGGTTTGCCTTTGGCTTGCCGCTTCTCTCTCGGCATTTCTATCAGGCATGCATTATAGCGTTTAATCCCTCAAGCCAAGTCCTCAGGCTCCCAAATCGCTTAGTCGTCTGCGTTCTTTCCACCACGCACCCTCTCGCGTATGCCAGCGTCGAGTAATTCGCATTCTTGTGACAAGGTCGGATCCTGATGCATCAGCATTGTGTCTCTCCGGGTCTTGACGTGCCTCACCTCAACTTTGTTGGGCATAACCCGAAGCCTGTGATTTGATCTCCCTAGCGCGTCCCCATTTTGAGGTAATTTCTATTCTCCAGTCGCTGCGTCATTCCAGCTTTCCGGTATCGAGAGCGAAGTTCGTTTTTGAAGTTAATTTGTAGATTGCGCATGAAAAATTGTAGAGCTTGCGATTATGCTATTTCAATAAATACTTGGCGCATCGTGATGTGGTGAAAGATGTTCATTTTTAAGGTGAAAGTGACAAAACCTAGTGGTTTGAACGCAATCCTTTTTCTTAAATGCATCTACTTCAGCGATCATTAACGATTTCTCACGAACTGGTATCAACTTCTTTGCTTTTAAATCAATATTCACAACATTGAAAGCTTGTTCTTCCTGTTGTCGGTATGCTAAAAGCAACGTGAAACAGGTTTTGATTCGTGCTAGAAACTAGCCCGTTTGATCTTTGACGAAAAGCTGTTTGAGCAAAACTGCCTTCAGTAAATCAGGCAGTAGCAGATGCTATCTTTCTGACAATTTTATTAGTTGTGACGGCAGAAGCCAAGGTCTTCTGAGAACGCTAGGTCAGATGAAAGGCATCAACCTTAAACTGTACTTTATTTCTGATAAATCAGTTGACAGCCTTTGCAATGAAAATGCAAGAGCATTTGGGCGATTCCCGGCATCAGTGCTTTGTTACAGTTTTAGTTCTTGACGCTATTACTATTGGCATTAGCTACACACGATATTGCGTATTATTATTGTCGAAGCAACTTATCGTATGGCTTCGCATCAGTTAGCAAGCGAAAGTTGGCATTCTTTGAAACATTGATTCAAACTTTACTTATTCGGATTTTCATCACAAGATCATCATTTAACTTAACCTGACTAAAATAAATCATATGAAGTCTCAACAATCGTACCTGTTCATAGGGAAATATCTCTCGATCTGCCGTTGTTTGTTCCACAAATTGTCATTCGCTGCATTGGATATTTGATGAACGTGCTGCTATTAAATCCCGTAATGTTACGAAATTTCATGCAAGTACTAAGCTTCCGATTGTCTAGTACATGAACATCTTTCGCAGACACATACTTATCCACTGGTTTCCTATCTTTGATCATGATGATTCTCAGCTGACGTAGGATAAAATTTACGATGCGTTTCGGTGCTCTTAGAGGCTTATAGTGTATCGTTTTCATCTTATATTTGTATTAATTTATCACAGTAATCAACACTCCTGGAGCCAAATTCGATGATGACAGCATCTAAACCGGTAATCTTCTCGCGTGATCCGGACTCCGTCGACATATCCAGCGTGCTTTGAGTTCAAAAAATATCAAAGTCTTCCTCTTCTTCGCTGCTTCCTAAGTTTTCGTTTTCAGACAGACTACTATCCATCTCGATTCGAACACGTGCCGTTCCTCCTGGACTCACAGCCGCTTTCATTGAATGTGAGCCCAAATCTTCCACAAGCGACATGGCTTTCCTCTAATTGAATCAAAGTCAGTGGTGCTGTTCAAAATTGCACAATTAGATTGCTCCTTTGAACGTACTTTAGAAGATGTCGCCTTTGTCGCCTTTGCATTAGAGGGTGTACTGATCGCAGTTACACGCTTCACCTTACCACACACCATTTTCCCCCCACCGGCGACATGCTGGCGATTGATCCCAAGTACATAAGAGTCAATATCGTCACGCCGACGCGAGCTCAACTTTTTCAGAAAGGGTGTCTCATTGTCCTTGTCAGAATCTTCGTCCTCAACGCTATATGACGGAGTAGCGAGCTCTGGTGATTTAATCGCACCAAAATCGGGTAGTTCTGGTAGACCCTCTTTAGACGGAGTCGAATCAAACACATCATCTACATGCATTTTTTCATACTACGAGCATCATTACATACCCTTCTCAGTCTCAATGAAACATCTGCACTTTCAAGTGTACAAATGGATGGACCTACCTCTTCCACGAACTCACGCACTTGCTTCTTGAACTTGTTTGAGCCTGCACGTGAGAGCTTCGACGTTCCATCAAGCTTTTTATTGATATCTGCTCGCTTCAATTGCTTATTTGCAGCTTTACGATTTGTTGGCGGAGATCGAAAGTGCTCAAACGTCTTAGATTGACATTCTTGAGCCGACTTTCCAGTTACGTATTGAGCCACCTGCGAAAATAAAAAGTAAGCTACTTGTTTTAAAAAGATGATAAAATTGTACCTGCGCCCAGAAGTTCGAAACAGTTGTTGGAATCTGCTGCTTGGCCTTTGATAAAGCTTGCAGCTGTTCATCTGTCCACGCATCTGCATCTGGCATCTCATTACACTTGTCCGTGCAAACACTTCTTTTCCTCTTCTGTTTTGGAGTATAAATCTGCCATGAATTTTACGATTTTTTTTAAATCTAACGAGCTGAAAGATAAATTATCATCTGTTTAACGCACGAACCCTTCTGGTCTTTGGTATCCTGTCTAGATTTTTACCAGAGCTTGATGGTGATGTAATGGCAGTGTCCTTCCCTTCTTTGACTGCTGGCATAATAAGCCTAGTAACATTCACATTGACGCACAATATCGTTAGTTGAACTGAGTTTTAAACCAATTCGCACACTTTCAATGCACCTCTTGTTCACAGATTTTCTTCCTCTTTTATTCGCCAGTTTATGCGTACCCACAGACTTTTGCTCCTCTACCTTTTGAGACTTATGCACCAATGGAAGCAATCGCTTGCAAAAACGCGGTGGGATTCCGTCTTCCATGATTTTCATCACAGCACGTGGTATACCAGTACTTTTAGCAGTGTCTCGGTCGAGTTTTCCGCTCAGCGCTACGTATTCACCATCTTTGGACGTAAATTTGGTAGCTCCTTCACGCTTTCCAACAATGAAACGCAGCACTTTTCCACCAACTGATCCCAGAATTTCCATCTCGATATTTTCGCTTCCAGCTTCGAATTTTATCGGCCATCCTATCCACCAATGCTTCAACACTATCGCCTTCCTATTCACTCTTTCCTTCTTCTTTTCATTTATTTTGACACTTCTCAAACAATGTTCTTGGTCTAATTTTCGTTTTTTTCTTTTTCTCCCAAGATTTGGCGATGGAAACACAAGTTTTTTCCGAATGTTAAAGTTCACGTCCTCTTTTGGCTCCGGCTCCAATTCAACATCCTCAATCATCTCCAAACTACTTCGTTTGCTGTTTTTTCTGGCCATTGATCGCGTTACAGGTGTACATCCTGCCATCTCCAACACGCCTACAAAGCGTTGCGACTGCAGTCTCTTCAGCTTCGTAGCACTTCTTGTTAAAGCGGGAGACGACACATTTTGCTTTTCTCTTTCTCTCCTCTTCTTCTTCTTTTTTATTGCCTTAATGATTTGTAAACTCGCAAACGGGTCTTCGTCGTCATCGGCGATAGTCTGTGAGCGCCGTTCGGGTGCACTGAAGACCTTTGCCATCCCTCGAACTGCGTGGCTGGTATGATAACGCTTTTTTTTGCGAGCGGAAAACACTACAGCGTCTTCACGACCTAATCCAACCAGAGCACTCTCAAGCACAGAGTTATAGCGGCTGCACAGGCGTAACGGCGCAGACGTACTGCGGCTCAGCGACGTCATGGCGCGCAAATTCAAATTGTTGTAATTTTGAAAGTAGTAGAAAAGTTATAATACAAGTTTTTATGCAATCTGTAATATATTAAGTATGCAGGTTCTTAACTTTGAGTAATACTATTACACTTTTTCTTTTTAGCTAAATATTGGTCAGTAAAAAGATAGATCTATAGTACTACTCAGGGTTTTTGCGCATATCAAATGTGTTGAGGAATATCAACGGTTTCTCATAATCATTTTGAGGAATTTGTAGTAATCGTTTGTTGGATCCACGAATTTCGAGATAATATTTTTATCGTCAAGATACACTCAATTCTTGATGCAGCTCATAAAGCAAGTCAAGTCCTTCGGGGGCGTCATTAAGCAGTACTCACATGAGAGTGTCACCACTAAATGCACCATGAAGTTTAGCATCTTCTTGCCACCTAGCGCTAGCGACAGTCACAAAGTGCCTGTTCTCTTCTACTTGGCTGGGCTTACATGCACCGACGAGGTATTGTTTGTCAAGGCACCTGAAGCACAAAAGGTGGCAGCCACTCGAGGTATTGCCATCGTGACAACCGACACGAGTCCACGTGATGTGAGCATTCCTGGTGACGAAGACAGTTGGGACTTTGGTACGGGTGCTGGTTTTTACGTGGATGCCACGGAGCCTAAATGGGATGAGCACTACCGCATGTATTCATACGTAAGTAAGGAGCTGCCGGCTCTTATCACTGCCAACTTCCCAGTGCAAGAAGATCGACAGTCCATCATGGGACACTCAATGGGTGGACATGGCGCTCTAGTGCTTGGAATTCGCAATCCAGTACGTTATTTTTTAGTGATTGCTGAGTCAGCTTCTAACATGTCTTAAACCATGTAGACTCAGTACCAGTCCATTTCTGCATTTGCACCCATTTCACATCCAAGGCAGTGTCCATGGGGAATAAAAGCATTTACTGGCTACCTTGGTGTAGACCAGGAAAGCTGGAAGCAGTACGATGCCACGCAGCTCATGCTTAGCCACGGCCCAATTCCTCAATCGATTTTGATCGACCAAGGCCGCGAAGACACTTTTCTGCAAGAGAAGCAGTTACTACCTGAAGCATTTGCAGCGGCATGCGAATCGGTTGGTCAAAAAGTCACGCTTCGAATGCAAGTGAGTACAATATCACGCTAATTCATCCACGTTGTTATCAAAAATTTACTAAAGTAACTTTGTTGTGCAGGATGGATATGATCATAGTTACTATTTTATTGCATCTTTCATCGAAGATCATATAAATCATCACGCGGATGCTTTACTTTGTGTAAAGACATAAATAATGATTGATTTAGTTGAACGATCATTTTCTAATTTTTATAATATATTGCGCAGCTATTTTTGAAGAGAGCTGCGCATTCTTTAGTTAAGACATCGAAGTGTTAGGTGATGAAGATGAAACAAATTGACATGGCGCCGAGCAATATGGTCCTGTAAATGCTACATCGACTGGCTCTTGATGTGCAGTCAATGCCGAAACACCCAGAAAAGGACTCGCAGAGGACGTCGGCGCAAGCAGATTCTCTTTAATTCGAATGCGGCAGGATTGGTCGAAAGTCATGTCTCCAAAGACATAACGGTATTCACAAAAGTCGGAAAACTCACAATAAGCATACCGATAATTCCAATAGCAATCCCCGTCGACGACTGGCGGACGAGATGACTATAATATTCATAAAGTGATACCATAATTAATAATATCAGCTTAAAATTAAAGAAAACGACTCACCTTGTCTGAATTCGATTTTCCATTAAAAATGTGCCGTAACTCGGCCCGTAACTCACGAAGAAACGTTGGATTTGATATGATATCACGATGTCCCACTCCATCCATTTCCCATACGCCAGTCTATTATACAGAAGCATAAAACATGATTTGAGTAAAGCGAATAATTACTTCCATTGTTCAACTTTCTATACGCACCGAATACGTAACTCCATTCACTTTCTTCGAGCTTTCGAAGAATGTAATTTTGTCGTGATTTTGTGATCCAAAGAGTCCAGCAAAGAAACCTGCCGAAGTGCCACTGGTCAATAACGCTTCTTTCTTTGCCTCGCAAATAGACATATTTTTCTTCAACAACGCGTATTCAGCGTGACGACGTGCGTGTCGTATAGCACGAACTCGTGTGATATTTTGACGTGAAAAGTAAACAGACTGCGGGGTCTGAGTAACGCGAACGATGGAGCCGTTTGAGCCCAACCACGTGTGTGCAAAAGAAAGTGAATGGTATGGTACAGTGCCATCACCCGTTTTCCTGCATGTTAGCTCGTGTCCTATTTCATTCTTCAGCTGCACTTGAAACCAGCGTTCTGGTGTTGCTGTACTTTCATACTCGTAATAGGCCTTAGTCTGCTTGATGAATACGTTTTAGATCTCACACATAACTTTACCTACTGCTGAGGTGCACGTACCGGGACATTGACACCATAGACACTGTAGACCGAAGCGATTGGCGGTCGTTCGAAGGGTTTTGAATGATCAAAGACTGAGTCTTTCGCATAAAACTGTGCACGCATTGTTTCCAACTGTGCAAAGATCGGATCGTGAGTTGCCATTTCGCGGAAAAATTGACCCGACGCTACGTCAGCGCTAGTAAAATTGCGAACCCGTTCCAACTCATTTTTGGAAGCATCTTCCTGTCGAAAACGAACTGTAACTAGAACATCGTTGTCTTCGGCTATGCCCAATCCTGAAGAAATTGGTAAGAAACTTAAGATAGAGCCTACGCGAGCAAGTAAAGAACAAGATTGTAAATGCACTTGTGAGAACAAGAAGTCTAAATAATAGTTCAGCAAACCGAAAGATACGACGAGCTTGCGCATTTCACTCTGCGTGATTGGTAGTCCTTCTGTTAGACCGGACGTAATGAGTTCAAGAGACTCGATACTTCCAAGTAAGGGTGAGCCGACAGCAAAATATGCTGAAATATGGGAATCCAACCACTTTTGCCAATTGTTTCGTCCCACCTCTTCCTTGAGCCACTCGAGAAAATACCGAAAGACACTATTTCCCATCGAGTGTGCAATCACAACCATTCCTCCTTGATACCCATCCATTTCGACTGTAAGCTCAACTACACAAGCAATTTATCAGCACATCATATCCATTCTTAACACAATCCACTGCTACCCACGCACTTTTTCTCTTAAGTGATAAGAAGAATTTGTCACGTTGCTGTAGCTTACTCGATGGCAGTCGCCAGTCGTACGTTGCGACAACTAGTTGTTCCGGGTCCAATCCAAAATGGTCCACCATATCTTGAATATTACGACGCCATATTGTCGATAACGGGCCGGTGACAATGCCCGGATCAAGCTCAGACACTGCTTCAAGACCTTGTGCTGCTCTGAATGTATAACAAGCGAGCAATAAATGTTAGCAGAGTTTAAAAGTCGACAAAATCGCTGACTTACCGCAGCTTGCATACGCGTTCCTCTTGTGTTGCAATATCCAGCTTCATACAATCGATCCAGCAGTCACTTTGTGCCAATACACGAGCCACGTCAACCCATACTCGGTCGCCAAAGTTAATGTCTCGGAACAGATTATTACGGAAACCAGTCGCACAGCGATAGTGGCTCCACGACTGCAGTTGTGACGATGCAAAGCCCGGAATGAGCAGCACAGGACGCGTTTGCATCGCATTATCCTTAGCCCATACTATCTTGAGTATTACTATCGATATCACGAGTAGCATCATTTTTCTTTTTAGTGATCACAATGTGACTGCTTAACGGAGACCATGGTGGTGAAATTACCTGTTTAAATTAATTAGGTGTTTCTATAAACGGGACAAAAAGAGACGAGGCAGAAAGAGACAGAAGAGGCGCAATATTATTAGAAATAGCATGGAAATCTCGCAGCGAATGTCGAAATGGTTTTGTGTTGGGAATGCCCTGCTTTTCATGGCTATGGCAATACAGTGTAAACGATAATAAACAGTATGTGCTCTGTGGCAGAGATAGAGCAGTGGACACCAAACTTTGCCCTGTTTTCTAATCTCAAGATGACAGAGAAATGACGTTTGATCTTTCTTTGATGCGACTTGTAAATCAGCGACAAATATTACGTACTTTGGAGTTTACACTTGTTGGTGCTGGAGTAACAAAACAACGACCACGAGGAATTTGAACAAGCGACGTCATTCTAGATGAGAGGGTGATGGACGCATACCGGCACCAACCAGAGAAGATCTTGTGAGGTGGTTACTGACGGACGCCGGCGTAATATTGAAAAAGCTGGCTTAAGAGTACTTTACAGATTACAATGCATAACTCGACTTTTAGTTTTGAGGATTCAAAGGGTGTTATTTTTCAAAATCTTGATCCGCAACGTGATGAAAAACTCATAGTCAACGTAAGAAAATTCTGCACGCTAATAATCTTTTTGAACAAATAGAAGACCAGATCTTACCTGCTGACGTAAGCTTGACCATTGACAGAAATCGCGAGGATCTGTTCAACAATCCTTTTAAGCTGAGAAAGATTCTTCAGAAGTGGGATAGACGAAAGAACGCCAAATTATCCGGTCCCGAAATGAGGCAGATATCACGAATACGACCCAAGCAGCTGCGGAGTGGTATCGCTTGGGGATCTTTTGATTAGTTCGGCGTCAATCACGATGACCCTGACGTTTCTAAACTGCTCATTTTGAAGTTTCATGCCGTCAAAGACGGTATCCCGCCTATCAAAAACCGACGACGAGCCGATGTCTATCAACGGCAGTAGATTTCAGCCTACAAATCATGTCAATTTGCTAGCTAGCAATGCCAAAAGCACATCTCCTAGAACATCGCGTATTTTATTAGCGCTACAGAACATTTCACTCACACAAGCAGAACTTCATTGTCGTTTTAATATTATCGAAATAAAAGCAGGAATACAATCTTGTAAAAGGTCGATACGTATAGAATTTCTAACATACTTGTGCGAAGTGTGATTTGATGAGATACACTGTAACAGGAAACGTTGATTCAAAAGGTAACTTTACATTAATATAAACTTCAGATTATACCAAACATAACGATGTAAACAATACGCTGAAGAGTTTTGCAGCAAATGGCTGGCAAATTCTACATGTACTTGCGATCACCTTTTGTTTGACAGAAGTTGTGTGATCTTGTTTTGATATCAACAACCTGGGGACGAACTTCTGCGAGAGCTTTGAAGTCTGTCCTCGGTGCAAATGGACGAGAGCGAAACGGTTGATGACTTGAAGAAGGCGATCAAGGAGAAGAAGAAAAATTTAAAAGATGTAGGCACTACAACCTGCAGCTCTTCCTGATGAAGAAGACAGACGATAATTGGCTTTATTGATGAGTGCCAACTATAATCTTTGATGGCGATGGACACCCTGACGTCTTGACAAATGGACAGCACGTTATTCATTCATGATACCGGCATTTTTAACGGATATGATCGTTTTTTGCTGAAGCAAATACACGCAAACGCTCCAAAGTGATCGGACGATTACAATTGCGTCGGCATTTTATTACAACCAGAATCGTTCCAGCGGACACACGTATAAACACCATTTGGGGTGGTTTTTGAACACCCGAGTCCATGCACGGATTCACTAGAAAGAGCTGTAGAATATAAGCATCGACATCTATCAAATCATGCTGCTTCTCAACATTGATCGCATTCTTCAAGACAGCAGCTGTATCGCTCACATCCGCTCGCACCGACAACACGCTTCAAAGATCGCACAG